TTGCAACTCATTCTACCTTCTTCCTGTGCAAGACAGCATTTAGTCTTTGGTTACCACTAAGTTTTTATATAAAACCGGTTCTCTGTGTCTTCAGTTTCAGATCAGTATGGAAAGAAAATACAAGTGACTAAAGGGGGGAAACTCGATATCTACATTGCTCTGGATGTATCTGACAGCATAGACGAAGAGGACTTCAAAAAGGCAAAAGGTGTAATTAAAACACTTATAGAAAAGGTATATGAAATAGTATGTTAATAACACACTCACACCCTTTCAACTGACTGAACCCTTTTAGCTATATTCTTTAGCTAGCTATTCGTTGATATTTCTGCCTAATTATGTCTCATTACTAGCACACTATTAGTGCCCCTTCGGAATCTCTTCTCTTAATGTAATGTTTTATATTCCTAATGAAACTACATAAAACGAATGAAAATTTGACCCTATGTTCATTACCGACAGATCAGTTATTACGAGGTCTCCCCAAATTATGAGATCCTGATTTTTGCCACAGACGTTACACGGATAGTCTCCATGAGGGACTTCAAGAGTGGGCAAAAAAATAATCTGTTAGAAATTCTTAAAAGACTGGAGGATTATGAATATGAAAGTAAGTGTTTTGTTTAGATCTGATTTAAATCAGATTTAAAGGTCATTCATACAGCACAAATTGAAATGTGTTTGTTTGGTGTTGTTCAGCCTGAGAGTAAAATGTCTGATAACATGTCTTTATGGACATATTTTAATATTTCGTTGTTTTGTGACTAACAGGTAAAGGTGATCGATCAGGAACTAATATCGCCATGGCCTATAAGAGCATTTTAGAAAGTATGCAAATAGAGCAGCTGAGCAATAAAGAGGACTTCAAGCAGACCCAACATATTGTCATCATGTTCACTGATGGTATTAGTGATACCACTGTTTATTGCAATATTAATTTGAAAAAAAAAATTATAATAATAATATTTATACTTGGTGGTTAGCACTGTATCTGTTCAAGTGCCTTTTGTTCTTGATGTAAAAAAAAAGAAGATCACTTTTATTATTCGTTCTTTAGGACAGGCCAACATGGGTGGAAATCCAAGACCATGGGTGGACCAGATCAAAGATATTGTAAAACAAAATACTCCTGCAGAGGAGGAGGAAAAACTTGGTGAGGAAAGACATGAATGATCTTTGACATTAAGCAAATCTTCAAATACAGCTCAATTGCATTTAATAACTCAGTTCTTTGTTTTTTCTTTAATTATTGGTGATACCTTTTTTTTTGTACAGACCTGTATGTGTTTGGGATGGGAGATGATGTGAATGCTGAGGACATTAATGATTTGAAGACTGACAGAGGAAATGATAAGTTTTTCTTCAAGCTTCAGAACTTGGATGATTTGCAGAAGACATTTGATGAAATGATTGGTAATTCATTATGCCTGCTTCCCATTTAGAAACATGTACTTTGTTTAGGCTGGGTAAAAATATAATTTTAAGGTAATTATTGTCCTCCACATCCATTGCAAAGCACAGTCAATATATCCAATATATAAGTTTCTCCTGTTCTCCTTGCCTACCCTTGATCAGATGAGGGCACCAGTGTAGCATTATGTGGACTTTACAGAGATTATGATGATGGCACTGAATCCCACAAACGTCATCAATACCCCTGGTTGGCAAAGATCAGTGTGACTGTGGGTATCTCTATATCTTAGTCTTATTTCTTGTTAAAAACTGTACAAATAAATGGCTTAGCATCACCATGCTAGTTCTTTGAACATTTTATGTTAAAAATTTCAACTTTTTGAATTAGTCCTTTCTCTGATGTTTTTGCAGCGCAACAATGGAAAAATTTCAAATTGCGTGGGGTCATTAGTCACCTCAAGCTTTATCCTGACAGCGGCTCACTGCTTCAGGTTTGAGGACACACCTGAGAGAATAACTGTTGATTTGGGTTCAGATATTAAAGGTAATATCACGTGATTTAGAATATGGCCCTTTTTTTTACATGTAATGGTGTAAATCTCATCAGTGGTGTTTCCTTTTCTCTTCTAAGGAATAAAAGTGAAAGATTACATACCTCATCCTCGCTATGATGTTGCAGCAAAACAGAAAATGGGAATATCTGAATATTATGAATTCGACGTGGCTCTTATTCAGTTGAAGGAACCTGTAATTATGAAGCTCAGTCTTCGGTGAGGAACACAGCTCCTCAACATGACGTGCATTGTTTCATGCTACTAAAAAGTGTTAAAATAGTGTATTGAATTACGGCATATTGTGTATGTCTCTACAGGCCAATCTGCATCCCCTGCACCAAGGAAACAAGTGGAGCTCTGAAACTTTCAGATAGAGAAGGAACATGCAGAAAACATCGTGAGTTACAAACAGATATGTCTGTTAGAAATATTGCATGTGTATTAGTTCCATGTATAAATATAGGGTGAGATGACCCATCCACTATAATTTTTTCTTTTGACCATAGACAGCACAAAATCTCATCTCAGAAATTTTGATAAATAACTATGCTCTTCTTAATATTGTCATTTCATCTGAATATCAACATTTGTGAGATTTAGTCAGTTGAAACAGTTTGGAGGTTAACAGTTCCAGGTTGCTGAAAAATATTGATCTATGACATTACATTATGTTATTATTTTTTTTGTGTTTATTTGTTCATGAAGGATTTGTGGACACGTAAAAAGGATAGTTTTTATTTTCAAGTAAAAAAATTTCATATGTGAAATCATTCAATTTAATTTCGTGGTGTTGCTATTATGACAAATCTTCAAATAAACACGGGCAATTACATATGTAAATATTCATATGCCTGTAAATAAATTATAGAATAAATTGACCTTTCAGGTCTCTTTTACTGGGTTTCTGCTTTATCTGTTATCAGTTATTCAATTATTCAACTAAATTGTCAAAATACAATTTTAAATAGAACAGTTGATTTAATATTTTACATTAATGAGTGGCAGTACAAAATATGTATATTATTTACGTCTAAAGACTTGCATTGCTAAAATGCAATATTTATTTTATTTAACTGTGTTTTTACAGAGGAAGAGCTAATGAGTGCAGAAACGGTGAAAGCTTCTTTTATGTCTGTGGTGGGAAATAGCATTGAAAAGAAACAAATCACAATCAAGCAGGGAAAATGGGTAATGATGGAAACGGTCTTGTTCTCTTTATATTTTTATTCATTTGTGGTTTCATTAAGTTTTTACAGTTTTTAATGGAACTCAAAAGAGCAATTAACTTAGAAAAAAAGCTTAATTAAATGCATGCTTTGCTCAACAGTTTTGAATTTCTTTTGTCTAAAACTGAAATGTCCCTTTTCTTCAGCGAGATGCTTGTGTTGAAGATGCCAAAAAAGCTGATGGAATTACTGCGATAAATGCTAAAGATATTGTTACAGATAATTTTCTGTGCAGCGGTGGTATTGAACCTACTGTAGATGATGTTGCCTGCAAAGGTCAGTTGGATTTTTGCAAGAGGACATAATATTTAGTAGTAATCTACCATATAAGATGCAATTAAAATCACCATAAAATGTCATATCTTTAGTATCCTTATCCTTAAGAAATTGAATTTGCTACAAGATCTAAACTCATAATGTTGTGCATATCATCAACAGGTGACTCCGGAGGGGCCACTTTTGTGGTTCCAGGTAATCGACAAGTCCAGGTGAGTTTTTTAATCATTTCTCATGTTTGATGATTCCTTTTAGCAGCACACTGAGCTATTTCAAATCATGCATCACTTTTCAGAAGACTAAATTGTTGTTATTCATGTCTAATTTGAGAGATGTTTGTTTTAATAATATCTGAATAATCTTGGACAGGTTGGTATCGTAAGCTGGGGAGTGAAGGACCTGTGCAAGGACACCCGGACGCCTAAATCTGATTCACACACCAGAGATTACCATACAAGTCTGTTCAGTGCAGAAGTACGTGAATTCCTTAAACGCTACCTAGAAGATGAGAAACTGGGAACCCCTCTTATGTTCCTGTGAACATTGTGTTTAACAGTTTTCTATTTGCCTGCTCAGAAACATGGTGCACATCTCTCAGTTAACTCAAAATGTCTTTTCCTGCTTTGGAATTTGTAAGAAATGTGACACAATAAAAGCATTGTGAAATAATAAAAATAGATTTTTTTTTATTAATGTATGTTTTTAATCATTTTAAGAATAAAATTTTTTTATCCAGTGCATGTAATCAAATGTGGTTAATTAACATATTCAATGTAATAAATCACGAACAGCACTTTTCATGAGTGGGGGACAAAATAAAGCTTGAAACTTAATTTCATTGTTTTGCACAATAATAATATGGTTATACACAAACATATAATAAGATTTTTTTTATGTTTTTGAAAGAAGTCTAGTCCTTTATTTGATCAAAACATACAGTAAAACAGTGAAATATTATTACAATAAAAATTACGTTTTTTACTTGAATATATTTTTACAAATTTAATTTGTTCCAGTGATGCAAAGCTGAATTTTCAGCATCATTAGCCTACTCCAGTGTTCAGTGTCACATGATTCTTCAGAAATCATTGTAATATGCTAATTTGGTGCTTAATTATTCAATTATTATTGGTGTTAGTTCTTATTATTGTCAGTGTTGACAATAATAATGAGGAAAACATGCTTAATGTGGAAACTATGCTTTGATGAATAAAGTTCAAGGAACACAGCATTTATTTAAAACAGAAATAATCTGTAACACTAAATGCTGAATAAAAGTAGGCCTATTTTTTTGTTCTTACTTCCAATTTTACCCGAAACTTTTGAAGCAGCACAACTGTTTTCAAGAAATGTTTCTTGAGCACCCATTCAGAATATTAGAATGATTCCCGAAGCAAATATAATGTTATTTTTAAAAACACGTTCACTGCAGTTGACAACCATAATAGTCTGAAAACACGGAACTATTCGTTAAGATGAACTATTCCTGGCGGAAGCGGTTCGATGTAGCGCTCTTGAAGCTCTCTCGCTGGAGTGGTTGCCATAGGAACGAGGAAAGCCGATCTAAGGATTACAGCAGACAGTCAAAGTCCAAGCAGCTTGATTATCACAGCCTAAAATCATTAATAAAGAGCATTTGAAAATATCAAAACCGTCATGTCCTCTGTTTCCCAGGAGCTGAAAGACACGTGAGTAGTTATATGCTGATTTATGAGGCTTTCTCTCGAAAATATCGCGTTAAATAACGATTGGCGTTAGCATAGAATTTCCTTACAATGTGATAATTGATAAGTCAATCATTTTGTAATAGCAGTAGAGCTTATGTTTTGACACAACTACTCTTATTTGCCCAAATATGGCGGCACAGCAACACAACAGAGTTTGTGTTTTCAAACCCAGTGCATAGAAATGAATTCATATGCAGAGATGAGTTTTAAGGAGGTCTGTTTGAAGTAGCAAGTCTTTCCTGTGCTCTTGTAGTTCAGTCGCCAGCTCCAAATGGCTTGATGCTCACTATGACCCAGTCGCCAATCTATACACCTTTTCCTCTTGCATTGGTGAGTCACTGTTGCATGAACATGCACGTTCACTTACATGTCTGCGGTTGAACCTGCAACCACCAGTCTCACCAGCTCATACTCTGTTCATTTCCACAGCTCTTTCAGATTTGCACGGAGATGGTGAGAATAAGGTGAGATGGTGTGTTTGTGTGCCATTGTAAGCAACCCCCCCCCCGGATTCTCCTTGTGCCCCCCCAAAAATGTCCAGCCAAAAACATAAAATAAAATAAATAAAAAAATAAGCATTAAACACTTATTATTTGTAAAATCTAAATAAGGATCAGTCACTTTGTTCAAAGGAAAAATTGACAATTATGCACATAATGACATTTGAACTCATAGCCACAAAATCTTATTATAAATAATAATAAAAAGCTAACTGTAACATCCAAGCAGAAAACACAACAGTGCATTTCTGTTCAGTGATGTATAAAATTGCCTTTATTACAATCACAATCACCTGTAAGCCTACTTAGTAGATTCTCCTTGTGCCCCCCCAAAAATGTCCAGCCAAAAACATAAAATAAAATAAATAAAAAATAAGCATTAAACACTTATTATTTGTAAAATCTAAATAAGGATCAGTCACTTTGTTCAAAGGAAAAATTGACAATTATGCACATAATGACATTTGAACTCATAGCCACAAAATCTTATTATAAATAATAATAAAAAGCTAACTGTAACATCCAAGCAGAAAACACAACAGTGCATTTCTGTTCAGTGATGTATAAAATTGCCTTCATTACAATCACAATCACCTGTAAGCCTACTTAGTATATCCTATTTTAAATAAGCGGTATACTGAATTTGTTTTTGTGGGAGTGTGTGTCTTCCTTCATTAGCCTTCATTGGCATGAACGGCTCGATTAGTTCCTGTATCAAATGAAGGCCCGCCTTCTGAAATACGAAATGTGCTGTGATTGGTTAGCTGGGCCAGTGTGTGCTGTGATTGGTTAGCTGGGCCAGTGTGTGCTGTGATTGGTTAGCTGGGCCAGTGTGTGCTGTGATTGGTTAGCTGGGCCAGTGTGTGCTGTGATTGGTTAGCTGGGCCAGTGTGTGCTGTGATTGGTTAGCTGGGCCAGTGTGTGCTGTGATTGGTTAGCTGGGCCAGTGTGTGCTGTGATTGGTTAGCTGGGTCAGTGTGTGCTGTGATTGGCTTCACTTGGCGCCTGGTCGGGAAATGTCACGCCCCTTACCACCGCCTGCGAGCTTCAGTGTAAATATTGAGTCAATATCAAATCAATTTGAGCGTGATTTAAACTTGGATGATTGTAACCACTCTAAGCTAATCTGCTTGTTAAGTACAAAATTTTAATAAACATACCGAAATTTGGGCTTTTTTTATGATTGTCTTCATCCATATAGCTAAGCCACATTAAGTGTTTTATTTAAGCTAACGGTTTTCTATGAGGGAGATGGCAATGCTTAATGTGAAACTTTAACCGTTGCACTCATTCTGGGCTATTGTTTGTCTGTAAATAGGCTATTTATAAATAAGCTGTGCTGCACCTGCAGGACTTGCACGTTCATGTCTGTCAACGAACATTTCCATCAGTAATTTCATTTACAAATTATATATAATTAATAATTATATATACGGTTAGTCGACGCAGCAAAATGAAGTCGAGGGTTTAAAAAAAAAAATCGAATAGTCGAATAAAATCGACGAATCGTGACAGCCCTAAATATTATATTATAATATTATATATGCAGTATTATACAAAAAAACTATGTATTGTATTTATAAATGAGGACATTCATAAATGTCGTGTAATGGAGGTTTTCATAGCTTTGATAAGTGAAAGTGAAAAGTGAGGTGACATACTCGGAATTAGTGCTCTGCCTTTATCCCATCCAAATTGCACACACACACCGTGAACACACACCCGGAGCAGTGGGTGTGATTCGCTTTATTCGCTTAATATTGTCTACACACATATTTAACATTTCTGCACTCACACAGACACAAAATGCAAGACTGAAAATTGAGTAGCCTAAATAAAAGTAAACTATGAATATATTACCCTAGAAAGTGCTGCCCTACCACAATTTCTGATTGCCCCCCCAGTCCAGCGAGCCTAGTACCGGGCCTGATTGTAAGTGCGCTTAATTGAATGTGCACTTGTAGTGTACTTCAAACCTTGAAAGTATATTAAAAATTCTCTTGCAGATAATATAAATAAAAGCCCATTTAAAGAGAGTATACTTCCATGATTATTTCCTGTAGGACTTGTTTTTTTTTAAAGTGCGTTAGTAATATCAAATTAAAAAGTATTTTAAATCATTGTTTAAATAATCTTTTGTCCTGCTTTAAAGAAGTGCACTTATTTTGATGTGTAGACTAACATAGTAAAGCACATGTAAAATATGCAATATAATGGTAGTTTGTTATTTCATATTACATTTAAAGATAATACATACAAAATGTACTGAATTGCAACTTCATCTTAACAAATGTGTAATTAGTTTATTTAAAAATATTAAAATACATAAGTATATTAAAAAAATCTACTTGCAGATAATGTTAATGAAGTGTACTTAAATACAAAATAATTAAGATATAATTAATAATTATTTTTAATTGACTAAATTGCTGCTAAAAAGTATATTTTAGTTACTATATAATTAAAATATAATATTAAATACAAATTATTTAAAGTTTTAATATTTTAAATTGACTAAATTGCTGCTAAAAAGTATATTTTAGTTACCATAAATGCTTGTCTGTACATTGAACAGTTGAACCATATGCCAAAGACAATATAAGTAAT